CCCCCCCCATACACACATACTCTATCTAAGAATTAAAAAGTTCTACCTGACATTTCTGGCTATTCTGAGTAACAATATGTGAGGCAGCGTGGTGGAATCAGGCTCTCGTCAAAATTATCATAGTGAAGAAACTTGCATTTTTCCACAGGTTTCCGAATTTTTATCAAATTTTTGCTTTTTGACTCAACACCTTTCATGCCCATTAAAGAACTCATTTCTGTTATGGATTTTTCTGAAAAACGTTGATTAAAAGCACCAAAAAATACAAATTTCCAGTTACCACGGACTCTTAATCTAAGGAAATAACTACAGTTGTAATCTTTGGCGGCCATTTTCTCATTAATTTTACTTCTGAAAACGGGTGACCCCCACCTTCTTCATTCGCAAATATCTCGATTTGTATTCAAGACAAATTGATATTTATAAAATTCAAATAAAGACAAGTGAACAAGCTTTAAGATGATACCAATAACTCTACTTGCCCAAAAATTATCGAGAGCCTGATTCCACCACGCTGCCTCACATATGTACTTTGACCAAGAGGTCAGAAACCAAATTTTGTTCTATCAAAATTGTAAGATTATTCGGAGTCGTTATCAAGATATTCAAAGATCTGTAGTCCGAAAAGCCGGACGTAAAGTGAAACTTTAAAAAAATTAACATCAAATTTCTAAAAACTAGACCCTGAACAGATAGAACTTTGTATTTCCATGGTAGTGATACAAGTATGGAAAACATAAAAACAAAGTTATCAAACTTCTCATTTCGGGCTGTAATACATCACAGTGGACACACAGGCACATGCATGAAAACACGTCATTTTAATGCTGTTTAGTGTAAAAAAAACCGAAACAACCTTGCCTGGATCTGTGATGCACTCACTGAACTCGAAAGCAGGCAAACTGTCAGTGGCAAATTTATAACTTAAAATCATACCTCTGTCATCATTGAAAAAATATGAGAACATGTAAATAGAAATTCAAACAAATTTGGTGTTCATGTGGTGTGTAATAAATAGTATATGACACAAACAATGATTAGACCAAGAAAGACATTGTTTTAAAATTCACTAAATCCATCTCTTTGGTGAGACTCCCAGGTCGTATAATTTACACTGTTTTGAAGTAGTCTGAGACTAAATTAAACAAGCACCGCAAAAAGAAATTTAAAAAATGTAAATGTGAAAACCAATCTTGTGTCTACCCTATCGGTCTGACATTGCTGGTTCTGCCTTTGGACTGTGCCCTATTCATGGATCAAAATAATAATTCTAAAAAAGAAATGCTGAGACACCATTCACAAAAATGTGCTTCCGACTTCCCACTTTTCCACACCCCCCCCCCTTCCCCCCAAAAAAGGCAGAAAAAATGTGAAGGAAACTCAATAAAAGAAAAGTGTATGCAAATGTATCGGTAGCGATTGACACCGGGAACGAAATAACGAACTGACCACATATCGCTTATAATGTACCGACGTTTTCATTACAACAAGAACGGGGAATTTTGTTTTCTTGGAAAATATCTAGATTGCTCTACCTGGTCTGAAACTGAAGACTGGGCGCTCCAATAATGCTGTGTTCCTCTTGACTATAAAAAGAGCGGAGAGTAAAAGTCTGACTCAATTAGTATTTCCTTCGACTAGCTAGGAAAGATTATTTTGTCGTCGAAAGGCTTTTCAATAACGAAGTAAACAGTATAATACTATTCTAGAGCAATAACTTTTACTTTAATGATTGTGTGTCAAAACGGAACTCCCTACGAGATCAGCACAAGTGGCTTCTTCGCATCTCTTTAGTAGGTATTAGAATGGGTTTACAATTAACTACTTTGCCAAGACTGGGAATTTTCTTCCTTGACATTCCTCACAGGCAGTATCTATTTGAAATAGAACAACATGTTGTTTTTTTATTTGTATTTTTAAAAAAAAGAAATAGCAACATTTTGCGTTACACCAAGTTAGCTGATTTTTCAAAAATGGTATTTTTCGAACAAGTCAGTTGAGAGGGAATTTTCTTTTACCGTACGATAACATTGAGTAAGAGCCTGTAGTCCCTTCTCATTGATATTTCCAAGAAAATGGGGTAGAGTATTGAAGATGAGGGGGTAAAATGGCAAGTCTTGGGCCAATAAAAAGTACCATACAAAGTCAACGAAACCTGTAAAGATAATCAATTACTCTATAAGAACTGAGGAATGTTTGTAATATTCAAGCTAATTGTTGCTAATTTTGTTTAAATCAAATTAAGTTGAATTAAGATGTTTTTGTTATTTCATAGAAGGGTTGGAATACGAAGATACCATCTCTTGCAATATAACAGGCTTTGCAAAACCATAGAAAATAAGATGAAAATGTACGAGTAACACGTAGTAGAATAAGAAGATGTAACTATAAATCCTGAGATAAAAACAATGCATTACTGAAGATATATGGATAAATGTACAAGTAAACTGCCTTGATCAATTGAAAAGGCTACATTTGGTCGCTTTTAAGGACAAGCGGGTTAACCCAGATTTCGGATGTTTCCAGAAATCTTGATCTACACCAAAAGTGGGCATTGCCCTACCTATAGGAGAAGTTTGGTTTCACGGTGTGTATATTTGTTTAGTTATAGAGAAAACTCTCCTCGTCATTTAAAAAAACTGAACAAGAGACTAAAACTTTACCGTCGATTTTCCCAAAACAGCATTTTACGGGATAGCCCCCTTGCGTTTAAAAGCGACCATTTATAATACCTACATTGTCCAAAGTATGACAGACAAACAGACGTAAAGGCTACTCATTAGACTTAAACATTATATAGTTACATAGATAATGAATGACCGTACGCATTAAAAAAAATTAGACTAACAAAAGTCGCCATATTGGCCTATATTGTACTGCTAGCACTAGCTTACTATGTTCCACCAAAGTGCAAACTTGCCTACTTCCAAAAATGCCTACTGAGCTGCTCACAGTTCTTGCCTACAGACTACAGACCCCCCCCCCCCCTTTCTTCCCTCATCTCTCTCAACTCATTGTCTAATGGAAGGGGCTAATATGTTGTAAAAAAAATAGTAATGGGTTAACAGTTGATGGTTAGCTTTACAAAGAATAAAATGGCAGTCAAACAGACAAGACAAAACGAACACTACAAGGCAAAATAATATAATTAATCATAATTATTGCACAATAAAGGAAAATCATTTTTAAAAATTGCCCCCACCTCTCGGTCAACAATGATTGGGGGGCTTTTGGGGAAGA